AGACCTCTCTCTCTGCCTCTCCTTTCTCTGTGTAACTCTGACTTTCAAATAAATAAATAAATAAATCTTAAAAAAAAAAAAAAAACAGGATCCCACCTGACTTGGAGATGGTGGCATCACGATTCCAACTCTGGTGCTAGCCAGTTTACCCAATAAACTCTCTACATCCAGTAGGTGGACCCGTATGACATGGTCCCTGCCCAAAGATGCCCATGATCTTGAACTAGTGCAAGACCCCACATGCTTCAGGGTCCCAGGCCCATGAGTTCTGCTGGGGCTGGATGACTGGCCTGGAGTGGGCGTGGCCTTGGTGGGACATGAAGGAGGAGTAGGATTCCAACCTGAAGGCACAGGAAGGCACAGGCCTTCTAAGCAGGGAGAGGAGTCCTACAAAAGCAGATGTGTTCAGATCAGGAGTAGCTTCTGGTCCTCAAGTGCCCGGGCTTAACATCACCTCACAGTTGATTTCCTGCAGGAAGTGCCTACAGACAGAAAGGCTAGAGAGTGTCACCAGTAGTCTGTGCTGGGTGCTGGTGATGAGATGAAGCTGATGCCTGGGCCCAGAGCGGCCTCCGACCAGCTGAAGTGAGCACCCTGCCACCTCCAGCCTGCCCCATGCCTACACAGTAGCAGTAGCCCCAGCACAGCCCACACTGTGTCACCAGATGTCCCCTCTCCCTTCCTGTTCAGAACCTGTCCCGCTCCTGCTTGCCTTGGTACCTGAATCCCGCAATTCCTTGCTCTTCTAGAAGTGTCCTGTTAGAACTGTGCACAGGTCAGGGAAGGGGAGACAGCCCTGACCCCAAGCCTGTGACCCTGAGAACACGGTGGGGGGATGGAGGGTGGGAGGCATTGCAGGCATGTGACAGCGGGAAGCCCCTGTGAGTAAGAGCCTTGGACCAGGGACCCCATCCCTCTTACGGAGCCAGCCAGGCATGGAGACTCTTCAGGTAGAGATGAAGGCAGCTGTCCAGGGTCAGCTCTCCCCGAAGTTGGAGCCTACTCGAGGTTGGCCCAGGTCTCAACTGGCAGCCCCACCAGGGGATGCCCGCACCTGAAGCCTCTTCTCTCAGACCTCTGGGGGCCCTATCAGCACCTCCCTCCTCTCAATGGCAAGAACAGAGCTGCTGGGCCCCAGGAGCCTGCCCCAGGTTGGAAGACCTGGCAGCTTGGTTGGGCAGGGCCTTTGGCCTGGAGCAGGGAGTGAGCAGAGAGGTTGGTCCCGGGGCTCAGCCAGTAGGGAGTGAGGAAGGGGCAAAGGCTGCTTTTCTGGAAAGAAAAAAAAAAAAAAAAAAAAGGACTTCAGAGCCTGAAGGTCCTGAGGTCCCAGCATTGACTCCAGTGTCATGAAACCCGGCGCCCTGGGCTGTCGGTCCCAGTGCTCCTCCTACCTGGGCTCCCTGCAGCTCCAGCAGCTGCCAGGTTGGGCTTTGTCCTATGCTGCGCTGGTGCTGGCTCTGGACTCGGTGCCAGCCGGGGAGGTGCCAGGCGTGGGCAACCATGAGCTGGGGGAGGGGCAGTGCGGGCCAGACCAACTCTTTTCTCCTTGGTGGGGAGCACAGAGGAAGATGGTGCCCAGCGCTTGGTGTCTGGAGCCACAGGGACCCTGGTCACTCCCTTTCTTCCACTCAAACTCCAGGGTCCTTGGAGGTGGGAGGGGTCACCAGAATCCACCTGGGGCAGGCCGAAGCTTGCGTGGAAAGAGGTGAGGGCTTTGTGTCTGGAGGCCTGGGTCTGGGTCTTTCCAGCTGGGTCTCAGCTTTCTTTCCTGTGAAACATGGGGCTGAGACCAGGGGTCTCGGGAGCTCGCCTGGAGGCTGTGAGCAGGCTGCTGGGCACCAGGGCCCTGTGCTCAGTGCCCGGTTTCCACTTATGAGATTCTGGGGCCCGGATCCTGTCACCCTTTTCTCCCTCCTCCACCCTGCCCCTGCCCCTTTCAGCCTGCCCATGGTGCTCCCCCCCCCCCGGCTCAGGGTCCTCTCTGGCCACCGTTCTCCCCCACCCCTGCACACAGACTGGGAACCAGGACACTCCAGGTCTGGTCTCAGCTCCACCTCTGTCTCATGCTGTGTGACCTTGAGCTAGAAACTGAATTCTCTGGGCTTTGGGTTGTGGTAGAGGATCACACAGGATCCTCCAGCCTTCAGACTGGATCCCATCGAGGCCCACGGTTCTTGGGGGCTCACCAGGCTGAGGCTTTGTGCCTCTGGACTTGTCGTGACACTGGTCCAAAGCGTCCACCCTTCCCCCACTTCCTCTCATTCCTAGGGGGATGGGGAGCGTTTGCTAATGGTCAGAATGCAAAACCCAACTGTTGAGATTTGGAAAGCAGAGAGAAGACTGTTCTATTCTGTATCTAGGGTCAAAAAGCACAGAATTTTCACAAAGATGGAAAAGAGAAAAGAAAATAAACACATTCAACATTTCAAAATAATCTTTCCCCCTCCTATTTTTTGGAGACTGTATACCCCTCTCCTCTTCCCTCCCCTCCCCTCCTCCCCTCTCCCCTCTCCTCTCCCCTCTCCCCTCCCCTGCTCTTCTCCCCTCCCCTCCCCTCCTCTTCTCTTCTCTTCTATTCTATTCTCTTCTCTCTCCTTCCCTCCTTCTTCCCCTCCCACCTCTTTCTCTGTTCTGCCTCCCATCACCCTCTCTTCCCTTGTGTGGCTCAGGCTTCCCAGGGACATTGGGAGGAATCATCAGTGTCCCAGAGAACGACCATACCCGGTCCCGGTGGGCAGTGGTGGTTCAGCACCGCGGTCAGTACCCCCTTCCCTCCTGAGCACCTGCTTTCCACTGACCTCCTGGGGGGGGCGCTTGAGGACCCAGGCAGGAGGGGCGGAGGCAGGGAGTGTGTCCCGGTGAGAGCAGTCAGCCTCCCCGACAGGAAGGAAAGCCGGGTCCCGGTGCCCCTGAGGCAGGCCCTGTGCAGCCGGGAGACCTACTCTGCTGTTTTCTGCTGCCGGCTGCCACCCAGGGAGGCCTCAGAGCTAACGGCCTTATTAGGTGCTGAGCTGGCCAAGCGGTGGGACCCTGATCATCAGTGCTAGGATGCTGGCAACCAATCCTCTAGATCCTTAAGGCCTCCCCAGTAGGCAGGGGGAGACTGAGGCCCTGCTCACGGTCCACCCTGGGCCCTGGAGACACATGAGGCACGGCTCACAGCTGTGCCTGGATGCCCAATGGCGCAGTTCTATGACGGCGTGGAGCCTGGCTCCAGCCTCCCGCCTGGCACCGCAGGCGATCACAGTTCTGGCGGCCGCCGCCCGTCGCTCCAAGTCGAGCCTTTCCCGAGAGCTCCAGTGAAGAGTGTGGCTCTAGCTTCGGATGGAGCTGGCTTTCCTGCCAGCTCTGCCCAGCACTGGCTGGGGCCCCTGGGAAGAGACGTTTCCTCTCTCAAACACTGAGGTCCTGAGGCCGACCTCCCGGCTGGTCTCAGGGTGGGGCAGTTAAGGTGTAAAAGGGTACGAGCGCTTTGCTTGTCCACTAGAGATGGACACCCCGGGTGTGGTCGCTGTCATTCTACCCACTCCTTCCTGCCCTGGCTAAGATCTAGCTGATCTCGTCTTCCTCCCCAAGGCTTGGCTGCCTGGGTCTCCCATTTCACTGGGGTTCCTGGGATTCTTTCCTTTGGGAATTCTCTGGACACTTCTGCACACATGACCCTTGGAGAAGCCCACGTTCCCTGGAGTCCTCACTTGGGTATGGAAGCAAGGTCCCTACAGTCGCTTCCAGAGTCAAGCGTGAAGGCTGGGAAGTGGCATTGCCTGGGCCTGGTGCTCAGGCCGGGTGGGGAAGGGGCAGGAAGGACTTTGCAGAGGGTGCTGCTCCCAGCACGGAGAAGACAGAAAAGACAGATCCACTGCGCTGAAGTGGAGGGGCATGGATTTGGGGGAGCCAAGGAACATAAGAGAAGGGGGGTTTGGGGATAACCTAGTCTCACAATCACTGCCCATAACTTCACTTAAATGGGGCTGTTCCCCACCAACCAACAGCCCGCCACCATCCTGGCCCAGGCCCCTCTTCCCAGAGCTCCAAACAAGTCAGGGACTGGGTGCTGCCCCGCTGCCCCCACCTGCAGGCTACAGGTGAAGATCCACTGGTGCCTCGGGCTGCACCTTCAGGGTGAAAAGAACCAAAGAAGCCAAGACTGGGCCCAGGACTCCCGCTTCCAAGGCTGCTGCCCTGCAGAACCGTGGCGGGCCAGGGGCCTTGCCACTTCCACAGCTCTGGGGCCAGCCCAGGGGGGCCATGTGCACAGCTCTCCCAGCTCCGGGCCAGGCTGTTCCCCCAGAGGTCAGCTGTCATGGTGGTAATCTTTCTAACAGTCTGCCACGTGGACCTGGGGACCTCCCTGGCCTAGGTGGATGCATTCAGCTCACAGAGCATAAGGGGTAGGGTGGGCTCCTTACAGGAAGGGCTGGCCTAGGGGTTCCAAATCCCAGCCATCTCTAGGCACTGACATTGGGACGCGGCTGCAGGGAGAGACAGGGTCCCTTTGAGGGCACTGCATTTTATAGCTTACCAGGAAACCATGCAAAACTGCCATTATTATCCCCATTTTCCATGTGGGACAAGTGAGGCCAGAGAGGCTAAGTCATTTCTCTACAGTCACACAGTGACAGAGCCTGGATTGAAGTCCAGCTCTTGCCACTGTCCCATGAGCGCCCCTCTGCCTGCTCCCAAGGCCACCATTGCTGCTTTTCCAGCCAAAGACTGACAGTCCTGCCTGGCTGTTAAGCTTCACAGACTGGACCGGGGTGTGAGCGCTGGCTCAGATCTCAGTTCCAATCCGAGCTTCTGCACTTACGAGCATGGGACATGGGACTCCAGACAAGTCACGTGTGCTCCCTGAACCTCGTTGCTCCTCCTCTGTAAAACAGGCACAATCCCACTGACCTAGCAGGCTGCAATGTGGACTGGCCATGCTGACTAGAACCCTGCCTGGGACAGAAGGGGCGGGGCTCGATGTTTGTCACAATGAACGAAACTGACCACTGACACCCTGTAACGTAGATTTAATACAAATGGACCCTAACGCACAAAATGGGCAATGTTTTAAATAAAAATACTGCTGTCAGGGGCTCAGATTCTGGTAGCTGAGCGGGTAGGTCAGGGCTGAGGACACCCCTAGCTCAGAGGAGGGCCCGGTGGGCAGAAACCCCCCAAGTTCAGCTATTGTGGCTCCCTTGGGATGGGTGGGCTCAGAGACCCCCTAGGCCCCAGGACAGAGGGGACTCTGCTGCCTGGAGGCCCAGTCCTTGGGTTCCCACCTCTGGGCAGGTCCAGGGCCTTGGAGCAGGGCACCTGGAGGCCCTGCTGCTTTCACGCCGTGGCCCAGAGGCCGACTCCAGCCTGAGTGCCTCACGGTTGGATGCTGTGGGGAGCAGCACGGCTGGGCGTGCCCAACATCCATTCCGACTGCCTTCCAGCGGCTTTTTGTGTGTGTGGTTGCAGCTGGAAAGAAGTCAGCTACATTTCCCAGACTCCCCTGCAGCCAAGGGTCTGGCTATGACTTCAGTTTCTCCAAACAGAACTGCACGTGGAGATGTGGATTTGAGACCTGAGTTAGGTGGGAGAGAGGCAGGCCTCCGGACATCCATTGGTTGGCCTGGACGGCGGCAGGGGCAGCACAGTTCTGCAGCCCAGTGGTTTCTCAGGCAGTGGCTTCCCACAGAGGGGAGCAGCTTTCCGGGTCACAATGGACTTGAATTTGGCAGCTGGGAGCCGTTCCTGGAAACTCGGCAAGGATTCTGCTCCCCGGCCCTTGCCAATGACTCTAAAAGCCATCAGGGATCTGGTGATACATCCTGGTCTAATTAAACCAGCCAGAGAGGTTCTTGTTCCTGTGTCAGGATCCCAACACAGATGCCAAGTCCGATGGGGGGATGGTAAGGCAGTCAATGGCGACAGCCCCTCCCAGGGCGCAGGTCCAGATGGAAACAAGCACCTGTGTCTGGATGCCTCCCCATCCCCAGCAGGGCACAGAGGCCTGGCTGGACCCCTGTCCGGTGCTGCTGGTCCTGCAGATACCTCTGGGCTAGTGGCCCTTGCCTCGGCCTCGGGTGTGCCCTCATCCCGCAGCAGGCCTGGGCAGAAGGTGGTGGCACAGTGACGGTGCCATGTGGGCTCTACTACAGGCTCCACAGGCATCATCTCTGACCTGCAGATCCATGGGAAAAGCAGGAACCACCCACCTCTGGGCAGAGGAGGGTGGGTTTCAGACTTCCTAGGGCCAGCTGCGGCTTGTGCCCACCGTGGGCTGGAGTCCAGCTTAAAGCTGCCCATCACGAGCTTGGTCAGGGGCAAGGAAGGCGTTCACGTGTCTTCTGAGCTGCTGGCTGCTGGCCACATCTGGCAGGTCCTGAGGCCACAGCAGCTGGGCAGGGGGCAGACACGGGAGGAAGTCAGTCTCTTGCCCCTGGAGGAAGGGGCTGAGGGCTGGGCAGGGGCTGCCCTGAGGAGAAGCCATGTCGCATCCTTGGACCAATGCTGCATCCCCTCAAGGTCAGAGCCACAGAGCATCCATGCTGGAGGAGTTTAGAGCTTTGTGGAGCACAACCTCCACCTTTCACACAGGGCAATGGGGGCTGGAGGTGGCCGAGGCCGGCTGGAGCCCAGGCCTCCCGTGTGTCCTGGGCAGGGCTCCTGGTGGTGGCAGCCGCCCCGAGAGAAGCTGGGGTCAGCCCCGGCTGGGGCTAGATGCGCACGGTGTTGATCCGCAAGGGCTGCACGTTCTTGCCATTGGCGTGGCTCTGGCCGGGGCTGAAGTAGGAGCAGAGCTTGCCCGGGAACTTCTCGCGGAAGGTGTAGAGCCAGGACATGTCGTCGGCATTGTAGAAGATGAGCAGGCCCTGGTCGTAGTCCAGGAAGACGCCCACCTTGTCCAGCTTGTCCCGGACGTTGAGCCGCGTCCAGGGCTCCGTGCAGGCGCTGTACTGGTTGCCGTCATGCATGACGATGCAGTAGAAGCCGCGGCTGGGCTGGATCTGGATGCTGCCTTTGCGGCTCGCGGCCTCGTGGGCCAGGCCGATCACCCACTGCGTTTTCTCGGCCACCACCACCTCCCAGTAGTGGACGCCGCTACTGAAGGCCTCCGAGCCCAGCACCGACACCTCCACATCGAAGCGCTTGGGCGAGTCCTGCAGCGGCTGGGGGTGCAGGTTGCCGTAGGCCACGATGGTGCAGTCGTCGGACAGGATGAGGCGCTGGTGAGCAGTGCCCGGGTCCAAGGTCAGGGCGGCTGGGACTGTGGGGTGGAGGAGAGAGGAGTTGAGTGGAGAGAGGGCAGCAGCCTGGCGTCTATTGGAGGGCAGGGCTCTGGCTGGTTCCAGGAGGCCACTGACCTGCTGTGTGGCCCTCAGTATGAGCCTCCCCTCTCTGGGCCTCGTCTTCGTCTGTGAAATGGAAGGGGCTGGCTAAAGCCTGCCTGGTTAAGCTTGGCTGCAGGGCTGGTGCTGTGGTGCATCAGGTGAAGCCACTAATCACATATCGGAACATCCTTCCCTTTCAGTTCCCTGCTGAGGTGCCTGGGAAGGCCGCGGAGGGGGGACCAGGTACTTGAGCCCCTACCACCCATGAGGGAGACCTGGATGGAGCTCCTGCCTCCTGGTTTAACACTGACTGCTGCAGCCATTTGATGAGTAAACTAATGAATAAAAACTCTCTCTGTCTCTCTCTCCCACTCTTGCTGTCACTCTGCCTTTCAAACAAACAATAAATCTTTAAAAAAAGTTGGCTGCAGGAAAGCCAGGGCTGGGGCTGCCTGTTCACTGCCCGATGCCCACGGTCAGGCACAGAGCGGGCATGCCACCAACCTGAGTTCAGTTATCCAGAAAGAGGTGCAGAAGCAGGCACCTGCAGAGCAGGACGGAGCCTCAAGACGCTGCAGGTGCTACTGCCCCCTAGGGGTGACTTGGAAATTATGAATGACAGGCAGGGCTGCTAAGGACCCTGCAGGAAATGCACAGGGCGGCACTGCAGAGGGCATACTCTCTGCCCTGCCCCCACCAACAGCCTTCAAATGTCCCAGACATTCATGGAGACCTGAAACTACAACCAAACTGCCTTTTATGCATAAGCATGACGTCACGTTTGCAGCTTCAGGATCCACTGGATATGTTGGAATGCGAGTGCCACGTAAGGGCAGGGAAGGTGGGATTCGTTTTGTTGGGACCTTCACTGAGAGACATCGGCTGCTTTGAAAAACCAGGGCGACACCACTGACAGTTACAACCCACCTGAGGGACTGTATTTGAGGCAGAATGATGTTTGACCTACTGACGTGAGCACCTACACATTCACATGCAAACAGTGTAGCATAAATAACTTCCTGCCGTGGCTCACTTGGCTAATCCGGCTAGTCCCGGTTGCTCCTCTTCCAGTCCAGCTCTCTGCTGTGGCCCGGGAGGGCAGTGGAGGATGGCCCAAGTCCTTGGGTTCCTGCACCCCCATGGGAGAATGGGAGGAAGCACCTGGCTCCTGGCTTTAGATCGGCGCAGCGCTGGCTGTGATGGCCATTAGGGGAGTGAACCAACGAAAGGAAGACCTTTCTCTCTGTCTCTCTCTCTCTCTCACTGTCTTAACTCTGCCTGGCAAAAAAAAAAAAAAAAAAAAAAAAAAAGAAAACCTTCCTGGGGCAGGGGTGGTGGTGTGGTGGTTAAGCTCTGCTGCTTGGGGGCTGGTGTGGTGCAGCAGGTTAAGCTGCTGTTTGCAACATGAGCGTTCCATGTTGGAGCACTGCTCTGAGCCCTGGCTGTTCCGCTTCAGATTCAGCTCCCTGCTTATGCACTGGGAAAGCAGTGGAGGGTGGCCTGAGTGCTTGGGCTCCTGCCACCCGTGCAGGAGACTCTGGACTCCTGGCTATAGCCTCGCCCAGCCTCAGCCCTGAGGTCATTTGGGTAGAAACCAGCGTATGGAAGACCCCCCCCCCCTTTGCCTTTCAGATAAATAAATAACCCCTCCCCCCCTTTTAAAGATGCTGCTCAGGATGCCTGCATCCCATACAGGAGCTCCCTATTTGAGTCCCAGCTCCACTCCAGATTCCAGCTTCCTGCTAATGTACACATGATGCCTCAAGTATGTGGCTACCTGCCACCATATGAGAGACCTGGACTGGGCTCCTGGCTCCTGGTTTCAGCCTAGCTCAGTCCTGGCTGTTACAGGCATTCGGGGGATTAACCAGTAACGAAGATCTGTGTCTGTCTCTGTCTCTTTAAAAAAATAATAAAAATAAATTGTAATCTCCTATTGTCCTTTATATTATAGTCAGAGTATGCATATATATATATATATATATATGTAGATCCGCATATGTTATATACTCACATATGTATATTTGAAATTGTAGAAAGGCTATACTTTGGGACATTACACATTATTTGCTATGAAGAGTAGAAGATGGATCTAAAAGGTTGAAAACCACTCATTCTAGGCCCTTTTCCCCCTGACAGATGGGGGCACAGACCCAGGCCATGCAGCTGACAGTGGCAGAACCAGGGCTGATAAACGCTGTGGGCAGTCTGGCCCCAGCTCTCTCCTCCAGCCCACCTCTTACTCGCCACCCCCACCCCATGCAGCCCCAAGTCTTCGTTCCCTCCGCCCCTTCTGCTTGCTGCCATCACCCCTACAAGGCTCAGTCTCTGGGGAGACTGCTTGGCCACCCGGCAGCTGCACTCACTCTTCCCTCTGAAGTTCCCAGCCTCTGTCTCTGGCCCTCTACTGGCGCAGGGCATGGTCCCTTGCACCTGCACCTCTCCGCCATGGCACCAGGAGGGTGGGGACTGCAGCAATGAGCCAGGCTCTCCCTTGCGTGGCCAGTGCCCAGCACAGGGGCTGGCATGGGCAGGGCTCTGCAAAGGTTCATCAAATTAAATTGACCCTGTTGGTGTTGGGCAGGTAGCACAGGCTGGGGCACCTGGCTCTGGGCTGGCCACACCAGCCGAGCAGGTCCAGCTCTCATAGCCACATCTCTCTGTTTGCTCTCTCCTACCCGAGGGAGTGGTGACCAGCCAGGGGAGAAGTGGAATTTGGGGTTGGCTCTCCTGAGCCTGGGTGAACACCTCCAGGCCAGAGCAAGACGCAGTGGAGGAAGCATGGGAAGGAGGCAGCCCGGGACCAGTTCCTGGGGGCGAAGGACCTCTCCAGCGAACCATGGACGAACCCTGTGCCCTGCCATCTGAGGGGCACAGGGCAGCGGGACAGGCCCCTAAGGGCTTTAGCCACAGAGACATAGGGTGGGGAATCCCCACAGCAGGGATCGAGGCAGGCAGTGGGAGGGGGGAAGGGAGAAGAAGAACCTAATTGGACGCAGATGGGAACCAGGCTATGGGCAGAGGGTGTGGACCACACTCAGAGCCCGGGGCGGGGACTGGGCAGTTCTGAGTGGTGGGGAAAGCCGGGCCTCTCCTCTAAGGCGCCCATGGGGATTTGGAGAAGAAACCGAGACTCAGGGCACAGGGCGGAGACACCCACGCAGACCGGAGGGCCCGGCCTCAGGGCGACGTGGGCCACTGCTGGAGATGGGAGGGGCTCCAGGAGACAGCTCGTGGGCTCTGAGACCCTGCGACAGCTCACAGGGCATGGGGGGAATGTTGTCGCCACCCAGCCTGGACCATGTGTTCTGAAGCCCCCTTACTGGGGGGGAGGGCAGGGGGCAGGGTCTGACTCTGGGGAAGCTTTTATAAGCACCCCAAGGGTGGGGACTGGCATGGGGCCTCCCGCAGAGGGGCCTGTCTCCTGGGATGCCCTCCTGCCCTCCCCCTGGGCAAGCATGGGCAGGAGTAAGAGCCTCAGACTCCAGGGAGCTTGGTCAAGGGCAAGTGCACACCCTGTCCCCCTCCCCGAGGAGTGGGTCCCTACACAGTCGCTTCCACCAGCCCCCAACCCCACCAGAGCTGTCAGGCCCAGCAAAACAAAGGCTTACAGGTCTTGGATCCAGACCCTGAGTTTTATAAAAACCAAACCCCAGGCACTGAGACAGCCGTCTTGTCCCCACAGTCCCCAAGTGAGCGGAGGCCTGTCTGAGCTCCGGGGTCAGAGGCGTTCGGGAAGGACCGTGGGCTGTGGCCCCACAGTGTTCCCGGCCACAGGTCAAGCACATGGCAGGGGAGGCCCTCCCTGGTCGCAGCGCCACGGCCGGCCTGCATCCCTTTGTTCTCAAGGGCGGCCGTGTGGAGCCGGCAGGGCCCTGACAACACAGGAAGCTCCGTCGGCTCTTTCCTCAGGGCAGGGCTCTAAGAAATCTGGCCCCTCGGGTCTGGCGCTTACTCAGGCTCTGGGCTGCACAGACAGGCATGGGGAAAAACCTGCTCACGCCCACGCCGGGGTATCACCGCAGGCCCAAGGGCATGCGTCACTGTACCCATTTTCCAGAAGGGGAAGCCGAGGATTCAGAGCCCTCTTGGAGTAAAGTGCCTTGCTCAAGTGGCCACTTAGGGTGGGAGTGGAGCTGGGGCTTGAGCTGAGGTCTTTTCACGTGACCTTCTGTCCGTGAATGTGGCCTCAGACCGCCTGTTCTGCCAGAATGGGAAGCAGCTTGATGACTCAAGAGAAGAGAAAATAGGCACCAAGAACTGGCTGAGTCTTGGGGCTGTTATCACAGATAAATAATCTAACCCTCGTACCTACCGCAGGAGATAAATGGGACTATCCCTGTTTTATAGAGGTGGAGACTGAAGCTCAAAGGGGGTGGGCTGTGCCCTTGGCAGTGAATCTGCTGGGACTTAGGGTTCAGACGAGCAGGGGGAGGGGAGAGGGCAGCGCAGGAGGGGGAGGTGTCGGGAACCAGGACGGCCCTGTCCAGTGTCCTTGGGACAATGGGCTGCCTGGCCTGGCCGGGGAGGAGGCTTGAGCCCAGGAGCTGAGGCAGTCAGATCAGGGAGGGCAAGGTCATGGTCAGAATGGGGCTCTATAATGTGAGGCTGGGGGGTGAGCAGGGGGCCGGGGGGTGGTGGGGAGGGGAGGTTCCATGGCAGGGCAGTGACATGTGCTCCGTGGGGTCCTCGGGCGACCTAGTGGGCGACTCGGTAGGAATCTGGAGCTGCAAGGGAGGGGCAGGCAGGAAGCTGCTGGATCCCACGGGCCGGGTCCCTCGGGACACCCCTCCCATCCGGTCAGAAAGGGCTTTGGCGCTGGGAGAGGAGCCAGAGTGACTTCACAGCCCCCGGGAACGGAAGGGGCCTGGTTCGGCAGGCCACTGTGCTCTGATGTCCCACAGCTCCCTGAGGCTGCTCTCTCTGGGGTGCGAGTCCTCAGCTCTGGACACATTTTCAGTTGTTACACTGAGGGCGAGGGCCCAAGCAACCTCCAGCATCCAGTGGACAAAGGTCACAGCTGCTGCTCCAGGGCCTCTGACGCGCAAGACAGCGCCCCACACAGGGGTGCACTGGTCTCAAGGTCAACAGTGTTGTCAATGACGAGCCCTCCTCTGGGGCCAGCAGCAAGTCCCCACATCCACCTGCTCACCTATGACAAGGGACCACTTGCATGCCCTGGGGAACTGAGGCTCAGAGGAGGAAGTGACACATTTCCTCTGTTAGGGTGCTGGGCCCACAGGTGGTCCTCATCCCGCTGCGTCCTCCTGGGGAAGTCCCTCCCAGCCTGGGAGCTAGCCCGGAACCAGCACCACCAAGTCTGCTAGAAGATGGGCCCCTCCCCCACCTGCTGCCCCCTTTGTCAGTGGGGACCCGGGACCAGAGTTACGAGAACAAGGCAGTGTTACCTGCAGGGAAGCCCCGGATATGTGGCCCGGCATTCTCACCCTTGGAGATCATCCGGCCCCTCTTGGTCCTTCCAGAAAGCCACATTCTGGACCTACCCGGGCTCTCCCCTCCCCTCCCCCACCGCAATGGGGGTGTCCGGCTCCCGCAGTCTTCAGCGCTCAGTTCAAATACCATCTGTTCTGTGCCTCCCCAGCCCCTCCTCTGCCCCACACAGAGCCTCCTGTTGTCCCCCTCGTCGCTGCCCTTGTCCTAGGGGACCCTCAGGGTCTGGCTGCTTGCTCGTCTGTCTCCCCGGACTCCTGAAAGTGTCTTGGGAGTGATGAATGCATGACTCCAGATGGGTGGGAGAATGGTGACCTCTATGTGGCCTTGGGAAGCCAGGGTACATCCCTGACCCTCAGTCTCCCCAGCTGTTCCCACCCCCAGTGGGGGGGCTGGAGAACGGCCAGTGGGCTCGCTGAGGGCACAGGCCCTGGGGTCTGACGTCAGGGTCTCAGTCCCACAGGCTGCGATAGGAGACACATTCGTAACAGCTCCGAGGATAACGACGGTGCGAACCACCCCTGAGCGAGAATCCCCTTCCGTATCTGCATCTCACCTCTAGAGGACACTGTGCCGGACTCAGGGACACACAAGGGGCCCTGCCCCCAGTGGACCTGAACCTGCCCACTGACCCTCCCCTCTCCCTGCAATCCTGCACCACCGAGTGTCCATCCGGGCCAAGCGGTGGTCTCGGTCCCTACCTCGCTGGGAAAGGGGAGGCCATCTCAGAAGAGGATCCCATGAGTCCCACCTCGGCCCCACCTGCTTCAGGGCCCATTAACTCCACCTTCTTGGGGCTCCTGGCTGAGCCGTGTGGCCTTGGCCGGCTGGCAGCAGAGGCCAGCACGGGTAGCAGGCAAGGCTGTCCCTCCAGCAGCCAGAGATGCTTTCAAAACTTACGCCAGCTCACATCACTTCACTGCCCCAACTCAAGAAAGTAAGATCCACAAGGCAGGGACTTGTGCCTGTTTTGCTCATGGCCATAAACCTCTAGCACCTAGAATGGTGGGGCGAGGTAGGGGCCACAGTGCACAGGGACTGCCGGTGAAGTGCCCAGCGTCTGTCCCTTTATCTGGAGAGTGGGAATACGCATGGAACCTACCGCAAGGGCTTTTACGAGAAGGATGCACTGGGGCAGACAGAGGATACTGGGGTAGGCTGCCGCCTGCAGTGCTGGCATCCCACAAGAGCACCTGTTCAAGTCCTGGCTGCTCCACTTCTGATCCAGTTCCCTGCTAATGTGTCTGGGACACAGCTCACAGGCATGAGTTCCTGCCACCCATGTGGGAGACCCAGATGAAGCTCCTGGCTCCTAGCCTGGCCTAGCCCTGGCCACTGCGGCCATCTGAGGAGTGAACCAGCAGATAGAAGATCTCTCTCTCTCTCTGTCTCTCATTCTCGGTCACTCTGCCTTTCGTGTAAATAAAATCTTTGTTTTTTTTTTTTTTTTTTTTTTTTTTTTTTTTTTAAAAAAAAACAGGAAAGAGGGAGAGGGGGTAGAAGGCCTTGCAGATTTCATGGGGTTCACTCAGTGAGCCGAGTGCCTGTGTGGGTGCCCAACACTGGCCTGGAACATACCAGCTCATACATGCTCAGCTCCCTGCTCCTGTGCTGGGGACACGCCCCCACTCGCTCCAGCCCCCGCTAATCCATGTGTCTTCCTAGTCCCCCTCAGCAGTGGCAGGGCCTTACCTGGGTGGATGTCCTGGAACAGGGACTTCCAGATGGTGTACTGCAGGGGGCCTGTGTACTTGGAGGTCGGGAAGTCTTCGTATGTCAGGTTGGTCTCGTGGGTTTTCCCCTTGAGCCTGGAAGGGCAGCAGGACAGAGGGCTGCACTGGGCCCTGGGCTCCTGCCCCAAGCCAGGGCCCTGCAGCCACCTTCAGGGCAGCAGACACAGGGTGAGGTCAGGAGCGAGAACTCTGTGGGACCCCGACTCAAGTGCTGCTCGTGCCACTTCTGACCTCTCTAGCTGTGACCCTCAGCTTTCTCTTCTTTAAAATGGGTACCACACCAGCGTCTGCCTTTGAGGCTTATTGTGAGGATTACCTAGCATAACGTGTATGAAACACTTGGCACAGTGCTTGGTTCATGGTCAACCCTGAGCCGTGATATTGATCAGCAATAAGCCCACATCTAATTGTTATTACTGAGGGCAGCACTGGGGCCAGAGGAACCTTGGTGGGTCAGGGAAGGGATGGCTGCCTGGGGAGGAGCCCCGGGGCACAGAGGATGGTGGCACTTACCGCTCGGACAGCGAGGCCACCCCGGCCAGGAAGGTGTGCCGGTCGGTCTCGGCCAGCCGCTCCTGCAGGATCTGGGCGCCTTCCTGCACCTTGCGCAGCTGCTGGCTGTAGCGCTGCACTTTCTGCTCGATGTCGGTCAGCGTGCGCGCCGTGTCGGCCTCCAGCTCCTCCAGCATGGCCTTCTGCCGCTCGCGCAGCAGCCGGTGCAGCCGCTCGAAGGCCTCGCCGATGGTGGTGCGCAGGCTCTTGGTGGAGGACTGGAAGGGAGGGGTGGGGGGACAATCCCCAGAGGTTACCGTGGGGGGAGCAGAGGGGGTGATCCTTGGATGAGAGAAGGAAAGGCAGAGCGGAGACAGAGGGGGAATCCCCAGCTGCCCGGCTTGGGTGGGAGGGACAGGGAAGCTGGGATGGGGGCTGGGGACAGGGGGAGATGCTGAGTTCAGCCTGGGACACTGAGGTCTTCGGTTTTCAAAACTCTGACTCCTGGGGTTCAGGGGAAGATGATAAGTAGGTCACAGATGCCACAGCTTTATCAACGGCCACACGCCTGGTGAACCTTGCTGATCGCTGGCCCTGTCCTGCCACAGCCAAGACCCTCAGGCTAAGGAACAAGAGCTAGCGCTGGGGGCCGATATCAGAGAGGGTGAGCACGGGCGTGCAGGGTTCTCTGCCCCAGCAGGTTCTGTGAGGCCCAGGAGTGCAGGGAGGAGGGATGGGGACAGGGTATGGCGCCTGGCAGCCTGGATCTCCGGTTGTGCCCACCTCAGTGGCCTAAGCTCCGTGAACCTGACATCACAGGGCACGGCAGAGATGTAAGGAGGAGACGCGCACCATGTGCCCCTGATTCCATGGGTACAGCCTGGGAGTCTGCAGGGAGAGGTGGCTTCTTTTTTTTTTTTTTTTTTTTTTGACAGGCAGAGTGGACAGTGAGAGAGAGAGACAGAGAGAAAGGTCTTCCTTTGCCGTTGGTTCACCCTCCAATGGCCGCCGCGGCCGGCGCGCTGCGGCCGGCGCACCGCGCTGATCCGATGGCAGGAGCCAGGAGCCAGGTGCTTTTCCTGGTCTCCCATGGGGTGCAGGGCCCAAGCACCTGGGCCATCCTCCACTGCACTCCCTGGCCACAGCAGAGGGCTGGCCTGGAAGAGGGGCAACCGGGACAGAATCCGGCGCCCCGACCGGGACTAGAACCCGGTGTGCCGGCGCCGCTAGGCGGAGGATTAGCCTAGTGAGCCGCGGCGCCGGCCGAGGTGGCTTCTCACGGGGCCGCGGAGGGCCAGGCAGAGGCGAGGCTGGCGGCAGGAAGACGGGGTTCAGAAGAGCCCACCAGGGGAGCAGCAGGTGGGGCCAGCCGCCTCCGCAATCGCCCTTTGTGGGATTCTGGCTTCGAGTTCATCGAGTCAGAGACCCCACTGTGTTCAGTGCCCGGGGCTCTGCGGGAGGCTCCACAAAGCCTCAATTAAGGCCTGTTCGCTCCCGTCGTGGCGGCAGGAAGTGCGGCTGGCAGCGGGCCAGCCTCTCCACGCATGCCCACCCAGACAGCCCTGCAGACAAAGACGGGGCGTGGTGCTGGCCTCCCTGCACCCCCCTCACCCAGGGGAGGGGCCCGGTGCTGATGGGGAGGGGGCGAGCTGCCCTCCAGAGGCTGCCCCATCCGAGGCCACCCGCTGTGGATCCTCTGAGACCCCGGGCTGCGCTGTGCTGCCCTCTGTGCGCTGCGCTGTTGCCTCTGCCGGCCAGCCCCTTCCACTCCACCCCTGCATGCCCTCCCTCACCTTTGATGTCCCTGCCCCAAGGGCTGCTGAGTCCCCATGGCCTCCGGTGACTCCTCAGTGCCACGTCTATTTCCCAGCTGGCTCCCCTCTCGTCCCACTGGGGTCCCACAGGTTCCTCTGATGGACTCAGCCCACAAGTCAGCCCCAGCCTCAGTTAGGGGGCTTCTCACGTGCAAACCCCGCCCCTGCCCCCATCCCTCCCAGTGACTAGGGAGACCTTGGGTTCCTCAGCTCGGCATTCAAAGCCCTTCTCACTTTGATTTAGCACCACTGCGCTGCAATCCCACCTGTCAAGGATGACCCCTGACTCAAATCTTTCCCTTACATAGCAAACTCCAACTGAGCCTGCAAGGCCCAGCTGGGAGGCCACCGCCTCTGAGACACGGTCCCCAGTGTTCCCAGAGCCTTCGGGAAGCAGTGTGAAGGCACTGTTGCACGTCTCCCTGGCTAGAGGATGAGTGACATCGCCTGGAGCCCTGTACCTCCCAGGCCCACCCCAAGGCCTGGCCCAGCCTGGCCCAAGGCTGGCAGTCAGAAGCTGTTTGAGGGGTAAGGGAGGAAAGGCGAGAGGCCGGCGTTGGGGTGCAGAGGGTTAAGCTGCTGCCTGCGACACCAGCATCCCACACAAGCACCAGTTTGGATCCCGGCTGCTCTGTTTCTGGCCCAGCTCCCTGCTAATGGTCCTGGGAAAGCAACAGCAGATGACCCAAGTGCTTGGGCCCCTGCCATCCATGTGGGAGTGGATGAAGTTCCAGTCTCCTGGCTTCAGCCTGGCCCAGCCCTGGTTATTGCGGCCATTTGGGGAGTGAACCAGTGGATGGAGGACCTCCTCTCTCTCTCTCTCTCTCTCTCTCTCTGTAACTCTGCCTTTCAAATAAATAAATAAATAAATAAGTAAATCATAAATAAGTAAAGTGAGAATATTTTTTAAAAAAGGAGGGAGGAGAGTGGGCTCTTGTTCAGGGTTGTTCCACAAAGTGGGTGTGGGCTCTGTCTTCCGTCCAGGCTGGGGCCCAGTGTTCCCAGACAAGAGAGGATGGGGTAACGAGAGACAGAGGCAGGGGAGGGCAGCGGGAGCCCCTGCCCCCAGGTCTGTCTCTGATGACTCCTCCCAAGTTTCCTGGCTTGCTGACCAACGCTGACCGATGAGCGTGGCTCTGGCCGCAGACATCCATGTGCAAGGTGGCGGCCGGCTCACTGAACTGGACAGCAAGCTGCTGATTTGCCACTTGCTGGCTGTGGGGCCTCAGGCCGGGCCCTCAGCCTCTCTGTGCCTTGGTTTCCTTACTGATACAACTGAGATAAAACAACAGTTCCTACCCTGCAAGGTGTATGTTTTCACTCATGTGTTCTACAGCTTTTTAATGTGTGCGTGCCAGAGACCGTGCTAGGTTTTGGGGAGTCCTGCTGTGGGGGTTCTGTGAGACAATGCAGAGGAGACAGAGGCGGCGCCGGCTCCACGTGCAGGCCCCCTGTACTCCAGTTCCCTCCAGACTAGAGCCCCCTCCCCCCACTGCTCCTTCCAGGGCCAGAGCTGGGAAGGCAGTCCCCCCCTCCAACCCCCAGCCCACCACATCCCATGGAACACCCCGGGGCCTGGAGGAGCAGGGGCCCTTGCAGACAAACACCCTGCCAAGAATGCGTCACCCTCAGGGCCAACCAAAGAAAACAGAGGCCCTGAGGAGGGAGATCAGACGGCCCCGGGGCTGGGCCACCGCAGGGGCAGGCGCCTCAGGAAAGCCAAGTCAGGCACCAGGTGAAATATGAGTCCACGGCATCCACAGGCATCTCTTGTATAAACAGCCCATGCAGACAGGAAGCGCTGGGGGACTGCAGGGGCGGGGGCCCCCAGGACCCCCCAGAGGCAGACAGATGGACAGGAAAGCCGGGGAGGAAGAGGTCAGTGGAGAAAAACAAAGGAGGGGTGGGAGGCGGCCGAGAAGAAGCAGACCCCTGTCCCGTCTCCTCCATGCAGACACTCCCTTGTGCCTCTCATCACCGACTGGGACAGACTCGCCGGCCAGATGGGGAGACTGAGGCAAGGAGAAGCAAGTAGGCCACGGGGTCCTGGGGCTGTTTCTCATCTGTTACCCACTGAGGCTCCTGCCCGGAGGCACTCTGGAATGTTCTTGGAAGAAATGCTTGTCATGACCTTCCTGAAACAGTCCCTCCCCCAGCCCCGCAGCGGGCTGGTGGCCACGCTGGGGTATGGATCTCGGTTTCCGTGGCCTCCTCGGGCCCCAGGATGACCTCTGGAGGCCCAGCACAGCCTGCAGGCCCCGCTCCCACTGCTGCTGGCGGCAGCACTCCTGCATGAGCCAGCCGGAAACCCCGGACCTCACTGTGCCCAGAGTCAGTCCAAGCAGTGGGGACTCCCCAGACTCCTCCTAGCCCTGGAGCTCCCGAAGAACTCTTCCTTGTCCCCCTCCCTGTCCCAGGACAGGTGGGGGCCCCAAAAAGTGTGCCCTGTGAGGTGGTGGCCAGATCAGAGCCTGGGCCCTTCCTCTTGGGTCAGGGAGAGTGACTTTCTTCCCACCCTGCCCTCACTAAACCACGGTAGCCAGAGACAGCAGACCGGCACCTGTGTCCCCATGGCTGGGTGGAAGAAGGGAGATGATTCCAGAGCTGCTGCACAAACCATCAAACCATCAGGAGGGCTGGCAGGGGACATGCTCAGGACTGCCCGCCCCAGCAACAGGCGTGTCCAATAAGGGACAGCAAAGACTGCGCCCACTCGCCCAGCCCTGCAGTACTCTGGGGGGTTCCGGAAGGCCCCTGGTCCCACCTCAACTTCCACCCCAAAATGGCCCCATCCTTAACCCAGTACCAGCCCAAATCTTTGCCCTCTGTCACTGCGGGGTGAGGGTCCCACTTGTTCACCTTCGCGGGAGCCCCACCAGCGGCCCCACCCCAGCGTCCGCCAGGCTCACCTTGGTCTCCGCCAGCTGTCGCTTAAGCAGCTGCAGGGCCTCTGTGTGCTCCCGCTCGCTGTCCTGAAGGGCCTGAAGCTGCTCCTTCAGCTCCCTCTGAAACACACAGAGGGCCGGGATGAGGGTGCGGGCGGACCTGCCCCAGGCATCCCGGGGTAGGTGCCGGGCATCATCCTGGCCTCGTAGCCCCCTTCCTCCGCACCTGCTTCCCCTGACAGCCCAACCAGCAAGTCCTGGAGAGTCTGACTCCTAAGTGTCTCCAGAATCCATTGGCATTTTCCATCTGGATTTTTCCCAACAGCCTCTCCTCTGCCCATCCTGGGAGTCCCTGGTCTCCCCGTCTCTCCAATCCACTTCTACGTGGGTGCTCCCTGGTCCCCTGCTTGGCTGCCAGCTCCCTGCTTAGAATCCTTTGGTGAGAGCAAGGCTGTGCAACAGTCCATTGCTACAGACTGAACGCCAGCATTTTTCAAATGCTTATGCTCAGCTCCGATAGCAAATTGCAAAATAAACACGTGACCAGAATGACTGATGGCTCCTTTGCTTCAGGTTTCAGAATGGCTCAGCAGGGCCCTGCTAGTGACCTTGTCCTTTGGGGTAGGGATTGCTATTGCAGAGCGATGGGTTTGGACACCAGCACCCTCTATCAGAGTGCCTAGGACTAAGTCCTACCTCTATTTCCAATCCAGCTCCCTGCTAATGCACTTGGGAAAGCAGAAGAATATGGCTCAAGTGCTTGGGCCCCCACTACCCATGTAGGAGACAGGGATGGAGTTCCAGGCTCCTGGCTTCAGCTTGGTCCAGCCCTGGCCATTGTGGCCATTTGGGGAGCGAACCAGTGGATGGAGGATCTTTCTCTGTCTCTCTGTCTCTGTCTGTCTGTCTGTCTCTCTCTCTCTCTCTCTCACACACACACACACACACACAATACCATCACAAGACCCAGCGATGTGCTAGCAAGCTGGATCTCCAGGAAGAAAGAAACAAAGAAGAGCCTGTTGCCCGATAGTGCTTGCCAATTTCCATGGTGTGAGTGCCCCCATCAAAGCGGGTCTCAAGGTCTCAGTGTGAGGGCACTGGGTGCAGGGCTGGGAAGAGATGTGCACATTCAGCTCTCAGGAGCCGTGTGGTCACCTACAGCTCCCCACCACCTGCAGTCCTTCCCTACAGACTTGTTTTACATAAGAGAGAAATATATCTGCATCCGATTGCAGCTACAATGGTCAGGTTTCTGTTGCTAACAGCTGAGGGTCATTCCTAATGGCATCATGTGTGTCTGAGTCCTTGGTGCAGATGAGTCTTGTTGGCCTAAGGGTGCAGAGTGACCGGTCCTCGGCTCCCCTGCTGGCCTTGGCCTGTCCAGCTTAGGACGTGGTGTGGCTGAGCAGCAGGTGCAAGGGGCACTGGTCTGAGTGGTTCTCCTCCTTGGTGGCGCCCACGGATCTCTGCAAGGGCCAGCCACCCAGGCCACTCCTCGCTGTTCTGAGAAACCGCCCTGGAGGTCTGCATGGCTTACATTGCTCAGTGCACCCCAGGGACTTGGCCAAATGCCTCCTGCACTCTGGAGGGGACAAGGAGATCTGGGCTCAGGGAGCAATGGCGCACTCTTGACACTGCCCATACACATGTGCTGCCGCCTCCTTGGGCCCCGCATGGTGTTGGGGAAAGGGTGGGGGATGAAGGGCCAGTCCCAGCCCAAGGTGTGCACGTGAGCTGGAAGATACACACATACCCTGGTGAACATTGGGGCGGTGTTTGGGGACCCCAGGCTGCTCCTCCTCCCATCTCCCCATCTCAGGGCAGGGTCCCCCATTTCCATCCAAGCCAGAAGCCTGGGAGTCATCCCCGCCACCTGCCACCCCCTCTCTACACAGTCATCAGCTTTGCTCTGGGCTGGTTCTCTCCTCTCTGTACCCGCTGCTCCTGGCTTGGTTTTCGTCCCTTCTCTGGACGGGGGCCCCAGGTGCCTCCCTGCCTCTGCCCTCTCCCTACTGCTCCGAGCCCCCACCAGCAGCAGGAGTGACCATTCTCAAGGACAGACCCACACACGCTGCTCCCCTGCACTCCTCTGCAGGATTCCCACGTTGTCAGGGCAGAAGGGTACACGGCCTTAGCGTGACATTCAAAGCCCCTCACCACTGGCCCCCACCTTCTTCTCCAGTCTTCTGTCTTGGTCCTGACCTGTCTGTCCAATATGCGGCCACTAGCCCCAAATGGCCATTTATACTGCAATTCATTAAAATGAAATAAAATAGAAAATTCAGTTCTCCGGTTGCACTAGTTGCATCCCCGCACTCAGCAGCCACATGGAAACAGCGGCCATAGAACCAGGCAGTGCAGAGGCAGAACCCCCAGTCTTCCAGAAAGTTCTACAGGGCAGCGCTGAGCATCTCTCAGTGTCCTCAGGAGGCCTCTTCCCGGAAGGCTTCACCCACACACGTCCCCCCCATTTCCTGGACGTGCACCCACCTCTTAAGACCCAGCCCAAATGTCAGCAATACCCAAATTCCCCGCATTTCACTGCCTCGCGGCGTTTTGGTTACAAGGCTTCCTGTCAGTGTCTCCTGCTAGCCTGGGGGCTCCTGAGGGCAGGTGCCATGTTGCAAAGATTTCTATGTGCTCAGTGTCCAGGGCAGGACCAGGCACAGACCAGCTAGGGTGGGTGCCTGCCTAGGGAACAGGGCCAGGTGGGAGGGGAGAGAGAGGGCAGGCCTCTCCCCCAGGGGGCGGGGGGTAGGGGGGTAAGGGCTAGGTGCAGGGCCTGAGGGAACAGCTAACTCAGGAAATCCTAACCCTAGCACGCCGGGACAGGATCGAGGAGGCAGCCCGAGCTCTGGGCCAGCTCCTACCGGAAAGATCTCCTTCCAGGCCTGGGGCCAGACAGACCTGCCTTAGGAAGCTGGCTCTGCCACCCATTCACTGTGTGACCCCAGGAGGTCACCAGCATCCCTGTGCCTCAGTCCCGGAGCTGCAGAATGGGGACAATAACTGCTCCTAGGGCCGGGAGGGTGAGATGAGGCACCAGCAGGAGAGGTTTGGCCTCACCGTGCACAGAGCCCAGCATACACTGGGCACACGGGCGAGGCGGCGGTCACTGTGTCCTGCCCGAGACCCCTCAGCCGCTTCCTCTTCCCTGGCTGTGTCCTCGGATGGCCAGAGTGGGAAGGAGCAGAGGGGGCCATCTGGCCCAGCCCCGGGGGTTGCCCAAGCAGGGCACAGCGGCACAAGGAAAGGGACTGACCGCGCCACGGCCGCACAGCTTGACCAGAGAGCACACCAGAATGTTTCCTCCCAGCAGGGCATTCAGACAGGAAGCAGGAACCTGCTGATAAAGTCCAAGGGAGAGAGCAGCCCGAGGAAGGACACTGGCACTGGTGCAGGCCCAGGAGCGCAGGGGCTAGAAGCGGGCGTGGCTTGCGCTTGAATTTCACAGGCACCTTGTCACCTAATTCTCACAAGGAGCCCTGAGATTAGTAGTGCCTTTATGACCCCATCTCACAAATGCGGAAATAGAGGCTCAGAGAGGTTGGGCAGGTTGCCTAAGGTCACACAGCGAGTATGAGATTGAGTGGCTCCAAGAATCCACTCAAAAAAACCACTCAGCCTCTCTGCCTCCCACTCAATTCAATACAGCAATAGTCCCATTCTCATTCTCTCCCCTCCTCCCTCCCTGCTACCTTTTCTTTCTTTTTGAAAGGCAGAGAGACAGAGAAAGAGACAGAGATCTTCCATCCACTGGTTCCCAAAGGGCCGCAACAGCCAGGTCTGGGCCGGGAGCCTAGAACTCCATCTGGGTCTCCCATGCAGGTGGCAGGGACTCAAGTACTCGGACCATCAGCTGCTGCCTCTCTGGTGCACATTACCAGCAAAGTAGAATCAGAAGTGGAGCCACAGCTGGAACCCAGTCACTCTGACATGCAATGTGGGTGTCCCAAGCAGTGTCCCCACTGTGGTGCCAAAGGCCCGGCCTGCAGCAGTAACTTCTGAGCACTGTGCAGCGCCAGGTTTGTGCTGGCCCCTTGGGCTGGCCATGCAGGCTTTGCCTTGAAGAGTGTGCAGGCAGGTGACAAGGCAAAAACTTGGACAGGTAGGTTACCAGGGAGAAGAGGATACACATACAAGTGGACGGCCTGCCTTGGACCCAACACAGCTGTCGCCACCTGGCTGTGTGGGTGACACCCTCCCTCCACCTCGCTCTCCAAGTCTGTAAAGCGAGGCCATCACAGCACCTGGCCCTTAGGTTTGCTGCCAAGGATGAAATGAAGTCATGTATGACCTGACATGACGCAAGGGTGAGCTTGGTCCAAGCTGCGTCATTAGCATGACCACTGTGATTGCACGTGAGACACGCAGGCAGAGCCAGGCAGCTTCAAGGACAGAGCTGATCTCTGCTGGGAGGTCCCGGGGAGACGGACAGCAGCGTTCCTCCAAGCCTCCAGGATGGGGCTGGGGCCTCCAGGTGGACAGAACTAGCCAGGCCGGGCTCAGGCCTTCCTGGCGTGTGCAGGAAGTGGGCACAGTCAGGGACGGCTGCAGCCAGGTGTGTGACATCTGGATGAAGTCACAGCAGGAAAGGCCAGCTGGGGCAGGGCAGGGGACACAGGGCGGGACACCCCTCTGACGACACAGCCTGGCTCTGGGCACCGAGTTGTGCAACTCTACCTGCTGAGAGGTTTGGGGCTCCTGATGGTTCAGAGAGGCCAGGAGAGGGTGGGACACAGAGCAGGGCTCCACCACGCCCAAGGCCAAGGCCAGTCTTCCACTCTCCCCAGCCCAGGAGTCCCAGCTGCTGTGGGAAGCCGTCTTGGCTCTGGGGTTAGGGACCCTTCTTGTCCAACTGAGACAGCAGGAACTCTGGAGTCAGAAAAACCTGGGCTGAAATCCCAGTTGCATAGCCTAGGGCAAGCCACTTCTTCCCCTCCCATGGTGGAGGTGCGATGGGGGCTACCGGGATGACACTGACCGGTGGGTCCAGCAAGATGCCAGCACACAACAGGTGCTCAGGGCCTCTCGTCATCTCCATTCCTGGGCACTGCTCTCTGCCTCCCTGATCCAAGGACGTCACCACCAATCCTAATGTGGCAAACTGGAGCCTC